ATTGCGTACTGGCATTTTGAGTCTAGTCTATCTGTTACAAAATTGTTAATAAGATTATGAATGAATTTGAATGATGACGATGAAGGAATGACATAATTTTGATTTTTTTATTACCTTCACTGATTTTTTATAAGGGTGACAAGCGAGCACACAGTCCATCTGATGGTAAGTGGTTGCTGTGGCTCATAGACATCTACATCTATCCTCTTTTGCGAATCAAAATGCAGATGCATTGTCAGCCGTGAGGACTAAGATGTAATACCTCTTTTTCAGTAATAAGGGTCTCCGGTTCTCTACACTCACCATACTAAAAACAGCAGCATTAAGCTGCTATTTTACGCTGGTATTCTGTGAGAGCGTGGTTCTTTCCCGGTCGAGCCGACCCATTGGTGCTACAACTATACAATTAATATAGCTGCAGCATGGCTCTACCACGTAATATAATAACTCGTAGTAATGATGGTTCACTTTGATTTTTTGTTAAAGACTAAGATGAAAACGTGAATTGTAATTACCTGTATTGCTGGTTCTTTAAATGTAATTGCTTAAAAGCAGTGTGATGTGAAATTCCCATGGGCCTCTCGTTGTAAGGAGGATGTATCTTAATCATCACGCTTGGTAGACGAATTGAGAAACCAAGTGCCAGACGTTGCGTATCTTTGACACAAATACCCGTTTCCACTCTGAGGAGTTTGAATATTTTATAATTTTTGACGTGAATACGTCTTTAAATTTGTTTTCACAGTGGGAAGCAATTCAGAATACTGATGATAACAAAATCGAGGAATACAGCTATATATCTATCATCTACCTACATCCAATATTTATTTACACCATTCGATAGCTAAAGGGTCAAAGAGTTCGTTACGAGGACTGCGATGCATCGCATGCGGCGGATGTAGGAGCGCCACCATTTTGAGGTCGTTACGCTTCGTCACGTTATTTCTGTTTGATTTTTACGTTACGTACACTTATTCACGCAAAACACATGTCCATGTCCACGACATGGCCACACCTCGATTTTTTTTTCTTATAACTATGTGCTTGACTACACAATCCCACCTGGTAATTGCAATTTCTTAGCGTAACAAAAGCCTATTCACTATTCCCTTGAAGACACCTACTTTGTAATCGGTCGGAAAAACAGACGCCGGCAAGCTATACAACACCTTTCCTTTGCGGCTTACGAAATACGAAACAAACCGAATATCGTCAACAAAAAGAGTCCCGTCTGGCATAAACGAGATGGTTGTATCCATCTTTCGGTTGTATAAATCTATACCATCAATAGCGACGGGACGATATGGGGTGATAAGACTCTCACCACACAGCCTAGTATTATAGTAATAATTCATCCATCCATCCTTTACAGCCCATAAAAGACCACTCCTGAACATAGGCCTCGTTCATAGATAGGGGGGTTCGAGTTGTTATCAGGAAGATGCTGATGCACCTCTCTTGTTTCAGTTTCCCTCTGTCGCCTCTTACGACACCACGGGACGATATGGGCTAGTGGATATTCTTACACCGCCACTAAACAGTATATTATAAAATGTAACTAACTAATAATTAATGAATTTACTTACTTGTATTCAGAAATAAGAAGAATTTTGGTCGAATTTCAAAATTTTTTTATTTAGGAGGTTGGTTGTGGAGGAGGATATTGTCGTACCTGAAAAAATGTATAACAAATGACGGATGACATACTGTGTCAGTAAACCTAGTGATTATATTCTCTTTGTGTGTCAGTGTCAATTATAAACAACAAAGAAGCAAAATTGAAAAAGAAGCAAATACCTTTTTTGAGAAAATATTTTTTTTTAAACAATGATAATAAATGGCACGACTTGTCAAATTAAAATTTAAAGTGGCACAAGCCAAAATACAAATTTTTATGCAATAAATTATAAATATTTTCAATTTTATTAAAAAATCCAAAATGCCGTGTCCTTCTTGTGGAGTGCCATGTTGCGGCCAGGTTGCCGGCGCTTCATTTCCAGCGCCATTCTGTGGACCCTGTTGTGGAGTGTGCATAGGTCCTTGCGGAAGACCTTTCGGAACCTATAGCTGGCGATTCCGTGCAAGATGCTGCCCATAATTAATGTGTTGTTGATTTAACTAACGTTTTGAAAATTTATGAATTCAATAAAATTTAATTTCCTATTGTTTGACTTTGATTTACCCTATATCATTCCGTGGGTATCGTAAACGAGGACAGAGGAAGCCTGAAGATGAGCGGCAACTTCTTCCTGATAACAAATGAAAATAATAAAAAACTTGGTTAAAATTTAGAATCGTCTGGGAGGGTGAGGGGGGTATGGGATGGGGGAGCGGTCCCCGATTATAACAATACCAATCCCATCAAAAGGTAATACACCGTTCTTGAGAAAAATGAAAAAGAAAATCCCATAGACCTAACCTCAAAATGATAATATTTATCATCTCCGACAGAAAGTAGGAGAGGGACAGGGAAGCGAGGTTGTCTCCTATCACAACTGTAAGGATTTCGGAGTGCTCAAGTATTTCTGCGTAGTAAAAAAAACCACGAAGGCCGTATGTGTGTTTATTTTCTTGAAAACGGTGGATTACCTTATAATGCGAGTGGTATTGTTATAATCGGGGACTAAACCGACACCAAATAAAACATCGTTTTATTTGGTATCAAAAACGAAGTTTCCTTCTATCCCCAGTCGTGTGTCGTACATCAAATGAAAATTATGTTCGTGCACAGATCTGACTCGCTTGTCTAGAGATCATAAGCGCTGCTGATGGTCATGTGGTCTTGGATTCGACCAAATTCAGTCGGGTCCGGTTGGGTGAAAATAACAGTTATTGAGTTTTTTATTAAGAAATATCAGTAGCAGCCCGGATTCAGGAAGTCGGCGGAGTCTCACTCCTGTGCCTCAAAAGTCTTAAAGCCATTCATGCGTCTGGTCTCATTCCGGTTGGTGTCCCATCGGACTATGAGAGTGAGAGAATAAGAGCGCATCTGTGCTTGCCCACACATTTGTGCACTATAATCCTCTTATGTGTAGATGGCTAGTCGCCGTTGAGTCGCCGCTGTGACCGGAATTCGGTCTGGAGGACATTATATAATATATACTATGTAGGTTTAAGGGAAGCAGCGATGTAGTTCCAACACAAGTATTTTATAACTTACTGGAGCTACCTCAATTTATGTAATGCATGACAATGTATTGAGAAACAAACAATTAATTATAAATAATAATATTATTATTATTTGGGGTATCTATATAGTTTTCTCATCTGGTTGGGCTGTATAAATATATAATTGTAAATGAAAACGATAAACATACATAAATATCAACAAAATAAAATAAATACATAAAAATACATAAATAAACAAAAACCCAACCAGATGGAAGCCCTCGGCAGGGGAGACCAAACGGCCGAGGGTTAGGGAGAAAGGGAAAGATATCGGCGGATGATGCGGGTGGTATCGAGGAGCACCGCCTTCTGCATTTAAGCTTGGAGCGGTCCGTCACGGAGTCCCAGTCGCCTCAGATGACCCGAGACGCTGATTGGGATTAACCCGTTCGCAGAAACGACTACAGGTATAATTTCGGCCGACAGTCCACCACACATGTCAGTCACCTCGTGAGCCAGGTCCAGATATTTTGTTCGCTTATCTGTTTCGGCTTTCACGAGGTTCTCGTCATACGGAACGGTAATGTCGACCAAAAATATCCTTGACTGTGCCCGGTCCATCAGCACAATATCAGGCTCATTCGCAAGAATGGTCCTGTCTGTGATGATGGCCCGGTCCCAGTAGAGCCTGGCGCGGTCATTTTCGAGCGTGGCTTCCAGCATGTACTTATAATAAGGCAGTTTCCGATCCACGAGACCGTATTTCAGAGCGAGCTCCTGGTGTAGAATCCTGGCTTCTAGGTTGTACCTATGCAAGTACTCAGAGTTGGAAAGCGCCGAACAACCGGAGATGACATGCCTAAGTGATTCACCGGGATGGCGACAAGCTCGACAAATGTCGACGGTGCCATCCCTTAGGATGTATCTCCGATAGTTGTTGGTCTTAATAACCTGATCCTGTATTGCACACACAAAACCCTCGGTATTTCCGAAGAGGTCACCAAAACGTAGCCAGTGGAGGGAGGCAACTGTGCCTACGAAAGGCTCATGTAGAGCCTTGTAGAACCTCCCGTGGAGCCTTCTACTTCCATACGGTCTCCAGGTCGGAAATGCTCTGTACTGCCGGGTCTTGCCATTGCTCGTTGACTAAGGATAGAAGGGTAAGTTCTTTATCACAAAAAATATAACTACCCTATAGAATGGATCATCCGCTCTCGTCAGAAAGTAATTACGGAGGCTGCACACTTCGCGATTATGCATGGTAAGCGCGCTTAAAAAGCCGCGCCCACCATGTTTCCGCGGCAAGAAGAGCCTCATTACCGACGATCTCGGATGATGCATCTTGTGGGACGTCATAATAGTGCGGACTTTTCTATCCAGAGCCGTTCAGTTCGGTCTGAGTTCACCTGAGTATGCCAAATGTATACATGAGAACAGGCATGATCCAACCGTTATATGCGTGTGTCTTATTAACGCCCGACAAAGCACTTCTGTCAAGCGTACATAAAACACATCGCAAACTGACTGCTTCATACCCGCCTCATCGACACCGATGTTCTGTGACATACCCAGGTATCGGTATGTTTCAGCCTCGGAAAGGGTCCTTATGCTGATGGGCATAGATACGTCTATGCCCTCAGAGATAGCAACCCTTCCCCTTTCGACATGGAGGATCGCACACTTATCCGTTCCCAGCTCCATTCCAATAGAATTGCTAAAACCACAAGTGATGTTTAGCAATTCCATAAGATGGGAGCGACTGGAGACTTAATATATAACTTGAGATCATCCATATTGAAAAGGTGGGTCACTTTTGTACCTCCTTTCCGAAGCTGAAATCCCCTCCCGGAGCCCTCCAGTAAGGTACTGAGAGGGTTCAGAGAGAGGAAGAATCAGATTGGACTCAAACAATCGCCCTGGAAGATACCCCTTCTTATCCTTATGTGGTTCTCCGCAGCCATCATCCGCTGGCCTAGATGACAAAGGATCGTACTCCATTGCCCCATACACTGCCCGAGGAAGTCTCGAACCGTACATTCAACCTTGTACAGCTCGAGGACTCTCTTAAGCCATGTATGAGGCACCGAGTCGAATGCCTTTTTGTAGTCTATCCAGGCGCCGGAGAGGTTCCGACGGTTGCGTTTAATCACCTTGCCAATGACCGCGTCAATGAGGAGTGGTTCCTTGGTTCCACGACCAATGCCCCGACAACCACTTTGAGCGCGCGACATCACCTGATTTGAGCTCAGGTGACGAGCGATTCTCGCACTCAAAATGGATGTTAGTGTCTTGTATATGGTAGGTAGACACGTTATGGGGCGGTATTTGCTCGGGTCTGTAGAATCCCGGTCTTTAGGAACCAAATGAGTGATCCCAGTAGTGAAGAGGCTCGAGAGCGACTTTTGGCCGAGAGCCTCTTGAAACTGTCGGGCGAGCACAGCGTGACACACCACGAACCCCATCAGCCAGTAGTGATGCAGTCCGTCAAGTCCCGGAAATTTCCAGTTCGGGGCCCTACGGACCGCCTCAACTATGTCATCCGATGTTATGATGACGGGGTCCATGGGCGTAAAATTCGCACACTGCCTCGCCACAAATTTCGTTCAAGGGCCCTCTCTGTGGTTTACGGGCTCTGACCACAGGCCGCGCCAGACTGAGATAGTGTCGGCCTGATGCGGTGCTGGGCCCGTTCCACGTACCATTGGTCACTTCAATGATTCATAGAGCCTCATCACTCTGGAAGAGACGATTCTGGTTGAACCGCGTTGACCTCTCGGTATATCGCCGAATCCGCTTCCCCCAAGCAGCGATTCTCTGCTTCAGGTCGCCTATGCGCTCCGTCAGTTTTTGCGTTATATCCGGCAGGGACAAACAGATATAATTATCCCACCAAACGCCATCCTGAAGGTGCGCACAATTCTCGGCCTATTATTGCCCGACCTGAAGCTTATCAGTCTGCCGATGAGGGCCCTTGCCTTTGCGATACGGTCCTTAATGTTTGGGGATGTGCCGCTACTTTGTCTAGTAGCGCATCCAGCCGTGGGAAGTTTGGCGCCAATAATACGGCAAACTGCCAGTGCGGTGCCAAAAAGAATTGCGTCCGTCTCGCAAAGGTCTCGGCTGGCTTCCAAATAGGTCACCAGCATTGTGTTAAGAGCCCTCACGACAGCCCGATTCCGCATGCGATGACGCATAGGGGTATGCGTGGGAGTCGCGGGCGATTTTCGAGAGGCGTACTGCGCGTTTCCACAATCGCCTCCTGCAATTTACTCCTCATCTGCTCTAGTTCTTGGGTAAACATTCCATCATCGTCTGAATCAACTACAACTGGAAAATCCGCGGCGGCATCCACGTGTGCAGATTGCTCTGCAATTCGTGGCGTCGCATTATCAGCTGTAGCATTTTCTCCCTGATGAGGGAACAGCCTCACGTCGTAGTCGTTCGAGTTCGGCGTCACCAAATATGTTGGAGCGCAGGATGTACCGAACTCGGTCTGCCAGGTTTTGCTCTGATACATGAACAGATGGCTCCGCGAAAAAGCGATGCATCCGAGGCCGATACGCTAACATTCCAGTTTCTTCCCCTTTTGCCCTAAAATACGCCCGCAATGTGTTTGCGTTCATCATTTTTGTCCAACGCATGCGACGTGTTCCACCAGCGGCGGGTGCCACTTGCTGGGTCCGAGAAGACCCAGCTGACACCAAGCCCTCTGGTGGGGATGATGGATGCGGGCGGCTACTAGGTGGTCTGGCAGCCCCCCGTCTATGGCTGGCAACCTGTATGCTGTCGAGTCCAGCGCCAGCTCCAGACGCGCCCTGGTGACCTTTAGGCAGCGGCCCTTTGTGCACTCTTTTATTTTCCATCATCCATTGAATGGGCGTCAATTAACGGGAGACGCCAAGGCCCGGCACCATTTCATGGTGCGGCCATAAGCACAAACGGACCTTTGCACCCTCAATTCTGCCGAGGCACGGCGCACACACCTCTTGGCAAGGCGCTGACTGACTGCGCTGACGTAGCAGTTTTGTCATTTAACTGTTACGTCAGCGGGCGGTGGGATCGTCACTTCCCTACGCCATTTTATTATTATTATTATTATTATTATTATCACATCATAAATAATTTTTACTGGTTTATCAATCAACCCCAAGGTTAATTCAACATTGCCAGTCGTTCAATTCATAATACTAATATTCATATAAGAAACGTGGTAACACTGGAGCAGAGCGATCACCTTTAAATTTATTTGGAGAATTTATGATATATGTATATACGTGTGATAATAGACCATAAGAAAGCACGAATACGGTACAATAAGGTAGTCTTCAAAAAATTGGTTCGGTAACATCTTTGGAATACTATAGCGTCTATATAACATCAATTATTGTTATATGATACCTTAATTCAGATATATTATTATATCAGATGCATTTATATTTTTTACCCATAAACTAGGATTTTCTTGTATCGTGGAGGCAGTTTACATTCATAAATTTCACAAGAACAAACATCTAGACCCGGAACAATTACTTGTAGGCCATTAAATATTTGTTCCGTGCGGGATTCGAACCCGCGGCCCTCTGCGCTCCAATCATTTCTATGCCATTGCGCCACGGAGACGTCATATTAGGGCCTCCCTCAGTATTTTCCGAAGTTTTTTTATATATAGTTTAAGGGTGACAAACGAGCACACAGTTCACACCTACCTAATGGTCAGTGGATACTGTGGCCTATAGACATCTATCCTGTCAAATATCCTGATTAAAAGGCAAATTGCAGATGCGTTGTCACCCGTGAGGACTAAGATGGAACGTCTTGTTTCCAGTAAGAAGGGTCTCCGGTTCTCTACACTCATTTGTTCTACAAACATAATATAGCTGCAAAGTGGCTCTACGACGTATAAATTATTATTTAAAATATAAAAATGCTTGGACGTAATGAGCACTCTTAGATTTTCTTGACTTGCTTAGATATACATATTTTGTAAAATTGCAACTATTTTGAAAAAATAATATAATTGTGAATTTCTTGCCTCTACTGTCCACAATATCTCCCGCAGCCCGCAGCAGGGTAAAAAGGGTCTCTGGTTCTCTACACTCATTTGTTCTACAAATATAATCTAGCTGCAGCGTAACTCTACGACGTATAAATTAATATTTATAAGATAAAAACGCTACGTAATGAGCGCTCTTAGATTTTCTTGACTTGCTTAGATATATATTGCACCCTTGTAACTGTTGGAAAAAAAATTGTCTAATTATGAGTTCTTGTCTCTACTTTACCGGGGTGGTACCACGACCTCACAGAAAACCAGCGTGAAGTAGAGGTTTACCTCTGCGTTTCGCTTGGTGAGTGCAGGTGGCCGGAGGCCCTTTTTACTGGAAATGAGGCATTCCATCTTAGGCCTCACGGGTGACAACGTATCTATATTTTGACACGTCTATGGGCTGCAGCAACCACTTACCATCGGGTGGACTGTGTGCTCGTTTGTCACCCTTATCCTATAAAAAAAAAAACATCTCTCGCATTATTATATTTGTAATTTTATGGATCTTAGTGTCTGCAATAAAGAATAATGAGGTATTCTAGTCCTTCTCTTAAAATATATATAACAAATAATAAGATAGAATATAAGTTATAAAATATATTTAAATAAGTAGATAAGAACCCAATCAGACGGTATCCCTCGGCAGGGAAAACTAAACGTCCAAGGGTTAGGTAGACAAAGAAGTGGTAAAATTAAAAAATTAAAATCAGTAGGGACACACTGTAGCGATGATGGAGCTTTTTTGACTTTCAAGAAGTGCCTTGTAAAGGCCAATTTCATATAAAAATATTTTTACTTTGATTTAATAAACATGTGAACAAACTATTAAACTAACACACAAATATATCTCCTAAATGTAATAAGTCATAAGGTTAAAAATTCAAATGCTTAGCCCTGGTGACTACATGGTATTTCTTAAGATTAATTTGCGTTGCCAGAGTGGAGAGCGGAAGCAACGCTCGGTTTGAGAGCCCGACAGCGACACGATCAGATATGGTGAGGACGGGAAATGACGGTAGCATGAGGTGTTACCGAGTTCTGTAACATCAACCGAAACATTTCGATATCGATCATACTTAGTGGAGAGGCGTGCTAATAGGTTGATGACCTTAATTGGGTAGAAAATAATCTTGTCAGCTTCGAGCACAGGTGCAGAGAGGTCAGTCTTTTGGTGTTCTATAGGACACATTTCGAAGAGTATGCGTGGGAACTATATGTCTTAACACCCTTTCCACAATAGCACAAGAAGACGATCTGCCGGCATTCACACCTTTGTGGTGCTGTTAAACGCATTCGTTTGCTTCGGCAAAGGAGTGGAATAATTTGCCGGCGTCTTTCATTCTGATTATAATGAGTGCATAGGCATTTGTTACCCTATGACATTGTGATTTACCATCTAGGGTTTCATCACCGCTTATCTTCAGGTGACATCGCAGTCAAATACAGGCTCATAATAAGTTAAATAATTTAAAATTAAAAATTTTGTACAACCGACTTCAATATAAATTATTAAGAATAACTCAAAAACTATTGGTCAGACCTTGATCAAATTTATATGGGACCACATGTGAAGCACCAGCTTTCAAATAAAAAAGAATTATCGAAAGCGGTTTACCCAGTAGAAAGTTATGGGGCAACACACATAAAAAAAAACATACAGTCAAATTGAGTACCGGCTCCTTTTTTAAGTCGGTAGAAAATAACACAAAAGTGTTATTTGTACTGATATTTAAATTGTATTTTGAAAGCCTAATTCTGGAACGGCTATTATTTTCGGTTAAACTGTTGAAAGTTGTCGCCGGATATAAAATTGAATGTTGAACACAATGTTTAGCAGTGGAATTGTGATACGTTACTCGTCATCATCATCATCATTACAGCCCTTCACAAGTCCACTGCTAAACATAGGCCTCCCCCAAAGAATGCCACAAAGCACGGTCCTGAGCCACCTGCATCCATCGACTTCCTGCATGTCTTACCAGGTCGTCACTCCATCTCGTGGGGGGACGCCCTACACTTCGCCTACCGGTACGAGGCTGCCACTCGAGAACCTTTCTTCCCCATCGGTTGTCGGTTCTTCGAGCTATATGGCCGGCCCACTGCCACTTCAGCTTACTAATCCGTTGGGCTATGTCGGTCACTCTGGTTCTACTGCGGATATCCTCATTCCTAAGTTTATCACGCAGAGAAACTCCGAGCATAGCCCTCTCCATAGCTCGCTGAGCGACCTTGAGCTTCCTCATACGGCCAGCAGTGAAGGACCACGTCTCAGTTCCGTAAGTCATCACTGGCAACACGCACTGGTTGTACAATTTCGTTTTCAGGTTTTGAGGTATGTCTGACGAGAAGATGTGTCGTAGCTTCCCGAACGCTGCCCAGCCGAGTTGAATCCGTCGATTGACCTCTCGGTCGAAGTTGGACTTACCTAGTCGGACTATTTGTCCCAGGTAAACATACTCGTCAACAACTTCCAACAACTACCGGCATAGGTGTGACATGGACATTAAACATGATCTT